TTTTAAATGCATAGCTAAACTCACAAGAAAGGGATCCACAAGTGATAAAAACCAAGAAGGAAGAGACAGAAAACTAGCTCTGTGAAAGGGTGTGCACAGGGTCTAACATCCACACACAGCCAGAACGTGCGCCTTGGGCCCATGGGAGGTAGACAGTGGGAAATGAGACCCTTACTGAAAACGAGGACCCTGAAAAGATGAGAAGATGGACTAGAAAAGCATTTGTCTCAATGGGATCTAACTAAACTGAAAAGCTTCTGCACAGCAAAAGAAACGACCATCAGAGTGAACAGACAACCTACAGAAGGGAACATTTTTACAATCTAACCACCTGACAAAGGGCTAATATCCATAATCTACATGGAATAAACAAATTTACAAGAAAAAAAACCCCATTAAAAACTGGGCAAAGGACATAATCAGACACTTCTCAAAAGAAGACAGTTGGCTGGGCGTAGTGGCTCACTCCTGTAATCCCAGCACTTTGGGAGGCTGAGGTGGGCAGATCACTTGAGGTCAGGAGTTTGAGACCAGCCTGGCCAACATGGTGAAACCCTGTTAGGGCCGGGCGCGGTGGCTCAAGCCTGTAATCCCAGCACTTTGGGAGGCCGAGACGGGCGGATCACGAGGTGTCAGGAGTTCAAGACCAGCCTGGCCAACATGGTGAAACCCCGTCTCTAATAAAAAAATACAAAAATTAGCCAGGAGTGGTAATGCACGCCTATAATCCCAGGTTCTCAGGAGGCTGATTTTTTTTTTTTTTTGAGACGGAGTCTCGCGCGCTGTGTCACCCCAGACTGGAGTGCAGTGGCGCGATCCTCGGCTCACTGCAAGCTCCGCCTCCCAGGTTCACGCCATTCTCCTGCCTCAGCCTCCGAGTAGCTGGGACTACAGCGGCCTGCCACCACGCGCCGGCTAGTTTTTTTGTATTTTAGTAGAGAGGACGCGGGTTTCACCGTGTTAGCCAGGATGTGTCTCGATCCTCCTGACCTCGTGATCCACCGCCTCGGCCTCCAAAGGGCTGGGATTACAGGCTTGAGCCACCGGCCCCCGGCCCAACTTTTTTTTTTTTTTTTTTCTTTTGTGAGACGGAGTCTCGCTCTGTCGCCCAGGCTAGAGTGCAGTGGCCAGATCTCAGCTCACTGTAAGGTCCGCCTCCCAGGTTCACGCCATTCTCCTGCCTCAGCTCCCCAAGTAGCTGGGACTACAGCCGCCCGCCAGTTGCCTGGCTAGTTTTTGTATTTTTTTAGTAGTAG